TATCCATCTATCTATTCACCTATCTATTCATCCATCTGTCCATCCATTCATTCATTCATTCATCCATCAATCACATCCACCCCTATATATCTGTCTTTTTGTCTGTCTATCAATATATCTCTCTGTATCTATAATCATCATGTCCCTCTGTATCCATATATACAAAGACCTCCAATTCTAACCCACCACCACAAGATTCATTCTAGCCTTCCATATTTCCAAATTCGTAACTCCCTTCTCCGACAATGCCACACTTGGCTCCCATTATCCGAAATACCAGCAGGTATTTCCTCAATCCTAGAATATACCCATTAACTAACCAACACACCCAGGCCTCTTGGAAAAATAAAACCTGTTAAAGTCTCAGTAACTTGACAAGCAAAGATGGAAGGGCTCCCTTGTCCTTCAAACGTCTCTCCAGCTGCAAGTGTGGTGTTCTGAGGAAGACGATGACGTGGGTCGATGGAGAGAGTGCCCTGCGCCCCTTTATGTGCCCACAGAAGATGGCGTCATTGGACACTCAGTGGGCGCTCACACCTGTGCATTGCACTAAACGATGAAGCTTTGCAAACGCGAAAAGCAAGTCAGCTGTGATTTCACTGTTGACTGATCTCTCAGGGAAATTGAGTTTTCTGAACAATCTTGATATATCCCGCAGCCATTGCTGGAGTAATTACCGACTAACTTGTTTGTAAAAACCGTGGTTTTCTCTATGCCTTTACAGCGCTCTCTCATTCTTACGACAAGAGCACTGACCTCGTTCTACAGACCTCAGACTCTTTTCAATGTTGCCTCAAAATCGACTTTCTTGTCTGTTTTTGCCCAGGAGAAGCATTACAGGTTCAGATCATCTGGTTTAACTTCGAGACGGTGCGGGTTACGTGGAACGTGAGTGAACATTCTGGGACGAACCTGACTTTCCTCTACACGTAAGTGGACTCCCCACGTGGACCCGGCGCCCCGTGCTGAGAAAATGCTCTTTTGCAGACATTAGTAATTGGGAGTTCCAGGAAACCAAGGTGTGAAGAAGTCAGATTGCGCAAGTGTGAATGTGTGTGTTGTTTGGTCCTCAGTCCTCACCACAACCACAACCACAGTCCCCCAAACTTTCTAACCCCCGTGACATGGCTGACTCACCCTCAAGATCACCTGGGTTCTTACCAGGGTACCCACAAAGCACGTTGTTGCCCGGGGCCGTCTGCAACGTGGAAGGAGCAGCCTACACGGTAGCTCCGAAGCCTGGAAACCTTCTCTGTGGCCACGGGTCACGCCGTGACATTTTCGCACCACGTTAGAAGGGGCCACCATCCAACCCCGTGTTCTGCTTCACGTGGCCTTATTTTCCTTGCCTTCTACCCCCAACGGCATGAGCGCGGATGTGGGAGTGAGGGTTTTTCCAACGCATTTCGTCTGAATTCTGTAAACACGGGGTGTATCCTGTGTGGTTGATTCTCCAGGAGATAAACCCAAAAGCGGACAGAACGGGGGAATTTCAAAACGAATTTATTTGGAAAATAAGACCCACGGAAGAAAAAAGAAAGTGCTGTATTTTCCAGGTGGCCACACACATGAGTCCCTGGAGTTCCTCAGAGTCTCAGTTTTCTCTGCCGCAAAGGGGGCGGTTCTTGGCCCGTCCCTGCTTGGATGTGACTGCTCTCAACGAGCTGGTATCCAGCTGGTGCTGAGCTTCTTAGTATTCCAAGGAGGCCACAGAGGGCTGGATGACCTTGGCCTGTCCCTGTTCAAGGTCCTCCCTGCCCCCAAATCAGGGGTTCGGTTACTCTGCAGGTCAGACCTCACTTGTATTAGTTTGCTAAAGCTGCCATGTCCAAATGCCACAAAGTAGGCAGCTTAGATCCACAGATACTTATTTTCCCAGTCCCGGAGCCCAGGAGTGTGAGACGCAGGTGTCTCGGGGCCGCGCTCCCTCCGCAGGCTCCGGGGGAGGCTCCTTCCTGCCTCTTCCGGCTCCTGGGGGCTCCAGGCGTCCCTGGGCTTGTGGCCGC